TTTGTGATTATAAATAGGAATGCCTGTACAAACATGATGCAACATAAACAGTTCCCAAAATTATCAAATTCTTCCTAAAATTAAGGAGTTATTAAAGAAAGCAAAATAAACAATTGGTAGGGCCTCTTAACATTTTTAAACATGAATAGCCTAAAGTACTAAGCCACAAACAAAGTGAGTCACCTTCAGGCAGGGGGAGTCTCCTGCCACGGAGAGAGCTGGCTGAAGTTATGACAACTGGAGTTAGGAGGTCTCCTATCACTGCCTAAAATACCATTTATTAAAATACCAGTTCCGCTGGCAGGGCTTGTACTGCCGATTTTTAGAAGTGCTGATGAGTTTTGGTCTTCGTTAATATCCTGACACTTGCTAGGATTAACAGGTGCCTACATTTAAGAAGGCAAGCTATGGCCATGGATGGTGACTATGGGATAATGTTAGAGACTTTCACTTAACAGTAGATGATAATAAAGTCCCAAACTCCGTGACATGACTCTTCAAATAAAAAAATATGCAACATTTAATGTGCATGGACATGTGCCAGGCATGATGCTGGTGGCTCTTAAAAAAAGGGGGGGGGGCGGTGTGTTAAAATACCAAAATACCAAAGCATTCTATTTGAAATAGTAGAGGAACCAGGGTCACTTTCTGTCTATCTCTGCCTACTGCCCACTGCTACCTTGAATAATACTCGGTTTTTGGTTTTGTTTTCATACTCCTGTATGTTTGTGCAAGGCTGCTCTCTCTGCCTGGAAAGCTCTTTATCGGCTTCTGTGTCTTCTCAGACTCCACCCACTGTTTTGGGCTGTTTTGCTTCTTCTTCTGCACTCTTTGTCTCTCTTGCTGGCACACTGGCCAGGCTGTCACTGCATTGTGTTACTGTCAGCTGTCTGCCTTTCTCCCAGGAGTAGGAGCTCCTGAGGGCAGGGACTAGATCAATTTCTATTTTTCTGTTTGTAATCCTAGTTTCCAACACGGTACCTATCCACACAACAGGCACTTGGTCAATGTGTGCTGCACAAACAGATAATAGCATTTTCAAGAGGAAACCAAAGTGGGGTAGGGAAGATTGAAAGAAGAAACTCTGTTTTCACTAAAAAGGAAATTGTCAATATATTGGGAAATAGTATATATCTGATTGCCAATTAAGAATCATGAAAATAATTCTTCCCAAGATAGAGATTTTGTTTAACAAAAGATGCTAACCTTGAAAAGTCTTATAGTGTTGTTGACTCTAAAAGCAATTCTACTCAAAAACAATGTGATCAAATAAAATATCCCAAAATAGAAAATGCCGATGCTTGGAATAGATATGATTAATTTTTTTCCTCTTCAATGTACACAAGATTGCAAGGAAACCTAACTTATGCATCATACTTAAGTCTTGCCAAGGTCAGGTGCTGGTGTTTGCTCACTCAATGGACTTAAAGTGTGCAGAATACTTAAAGGGGGATCCAGTGAGCTAAGATCACCCATGAGTTATGATTATTATCGTAATCAGAGTTATTTGTAACATATACTAAGATATCTAAATGACCATTACTCTTAAGGTAGTGTCTTTGAGGGGCCATTTTCTTTTTTCCCTCATGATACTGCCACAGAGCAAAACACTGTAATGTCTCCTCTTTTAGAGTCATTTTCAGAGTCATTTGTGGGCCACCCAAGATTTGTGAGAAGAAACTCACACGACACTATATTTATTCTGGGTTGTTCCAATGAGAAAACTAAAATATATGGGCTGGCTTTGCAAGGGATCAATTTCAGCACAATAGAAAGAAGATTTTTCTAATGATTTGAGCCATCCTACAGAGAAATAATTTTTGATAATGTATATTTTTCACTGAAAATGTTCAAGTAAAAAGTAGGTGACCACTTATAGGAGTGATAAAGATAGAATTCATGTATTTCAAAGTGCCTTTGAAAACTAAGAATCTGTGATTCCAAGAATATCTGAGAAATTATTTTATAATCACACTAAATGGGTAGTTTATAATCTGCACTCATCTTCCCTACAGGAAATATTATCTCCTTTCTTCCCTTCTCCTTTCTTCCTTCTTACCCTCATCTATTTCTCTCCATAGAGCTTCTGTCTGATATGCTTTGTATTTACTTGCTATACATCGTCTGTCTCCTACAACTAGTATGTAAGCTCCATGAAGGAAGGGACTTTGTTTTCTTTACTGCTCTAACCCCAGCACCTAAATTAGAATCTGACATGTAGTATGTGTTTAATAAATTATCAAATAAAAATATTAAAATGTTACAGAAGAATTACATATGAGAGAAAGAGAAATAGAGGAGAGTAAAACACAATCCCACTACTTTTTGTACATAATTTTATAACCCTAAATTTGCGTAGTGGTCAACATATCATATAGATCAATGCATAATTGTTGGAAAAACAAATTTGTGCTATCATTTTCATGCATAATCTTACTTAGAAAAATAACTTAGGTTTTTATATAGTTATAATTACCATTCATTGTTTTACCTAAAATGTTATTATTCCGCTAAATAACTCATTATATTCAGCAGATTTGGCTATAATGATTTGATGTCATTTCCAAAAACCTAACTCACTTTCACATAAAAAAGATGTGTTACCATTGAGTCTACATAAAAGTACACACAACAAGCCATTAAAAAAAAACCAAAACAATGAACTCATCATTTCTAATTTTATAATCATCTTTCTCATTAGTATCATTGAAAAGAGTCATAGCTATTTTTGGAGGCAGACTACCATAATGACTTAAGATAATAATAGCCAAAACATTCTTGCAAAAGGAAAAAGTTGGAGGACTTACACTTCTCAACTTCAAAATGTGCTACAGAGCTATAGTAATTAAGACCACGTGGTATTAGCATAAGAAAATACACACATAGTTCCATAGAACAGATTTGAGTGTCCATAAAGAAACCTTTACGTTTATGGACAATTAATTTTCCACAAAAGCATCAATATAATACAGTAGGAGAAAGCATGGTCTTTACAAAAAAAGATGTTAAGACACTTGGATATCTGCATGCAAAAAGATGAACTTAGACTCTACCTTACACTTATGTAAATATTAAGTTAAAACGGGTAATAGATCTAAATATAAAAACCTAAAATTAAAAAACTCTTAGAAGAAAACATAGGAGTAATTCTTTCTGACCTAGAGCTAGGAAAAGATTTCTTAGTTATAACACTGAAAGCTTAAGAAATAGAAAAAAAAAAACTTGATAAATTGAACTTTATCAAAATTGAAAACATTTGCTCTTCGTAAGACACCAATAGACAAGCCACAGAACGGGAGATGATATCTGCAAATAATACATCTGATAAAGTCCACAATGCATAAAGAATTTTTGCAACCCAATAAGAAGACAACCCAATTTTAAAATGAGCATAATATTTGAATAAATATTTTACCAAAGTAGCTATAAGATGGCAAATTATTAGAGGAATGAAAATTAAAGCTACAGTGAGATACCAATAATCAGAAAGATAAGCAATAACAAATTAAGATTTGAAGAAACTGGAACTTTCATCATCACTGATGGGAATGTAAATTGGTGCAGCCATTTTGAAAATAGTTGTCAGTTTTTTGGAAAGGTAAATGTAATTTTACCATATAACTCAGCAATTCCACTAGTACGTCTCTACCGAAGAGAAATGAAAACACATGGCCACCCAAAGAATCACATGTAAATGTTCATAGCAGTGTTATTTATAACAACCCAAACCTGGAAAGAATCCAAATGTTGACCAACTTCTGAATGTATAAACAAAATATAGTATATTATACAGATATTGATAAATGTATACTTCAATGCCTATACATTTTAACAGATTTTTATCTGTATGCTGAAATGATACATTTATGAAGTTCTATAAACTATGTATATATTTTATCACATTCATAAGAATATGTACACGTAATTTCAACTTAGCATCTTTTCAGTTTTCAGCCCAGAAACTAATTCGGGTTCAAATTCTAGCTCCACCACTTCTTAGCTCTGTGGCCTTGGGCTAGTTACTTTACCTCTCTGAGTTCATATTAGTAAAACATGGGTAATAATATATACCCTACAGAACTGTAGGATTAAAAGAGATAAAAATATACAAAATGCTTAGCACTAGGCTGGCCCAGTGTCAGTTCTTAATAAATCACATCCAGTCTTATTATCTACCTTTTTGAAGTTTTATTCACAAATCTAGTTGTTCACTAAATACTCATGGGTGAGGAGAAGGAAGCCATTTTGTGTAGTGGAGGAAGCCATTTCTGCACTTCTTCTGGCTGTCCGATTTCAAAATTTTCACTTAATCTCTCAGAGCCTTGGTTGCCAAAATCTGTAAAAGAGGATAGTGTTAGTCATGTCACGGAACTTGTTATGATTAGGAAATTTATATTAAAGTGCTTTGTAAACTGCAAAATACAATAAAAGATATAAGTACTCTATTATTATAGCCTTCTGTTCCCATCAATGCCACCCACGATATGTTTTGAGGAGAACCTGAATAACTACTCACAGAGTGAAGTATAATCATTTCTCAACCTCTAAGATTATACTGAAAGAATCTTTTCATGGCCACAGTGGTGGTAGCGAGTCATTTTCAAAATAAATTTTATTCTCCTGTTGTTTGAACACAAAGTAAAAACTGTGTTTCTCCCTATCTGAAACACTCTCTGCCTGTCCTTATGAGCTATCAGGCTCAGCTAAATCTGTCCCTGGCCAGTGTGTTAATGATTTCTCCTGGTTCCGAGACTTCCATCCACCACCGATGTGACATTCTTTGTGTTCAAATGTCTAGCTGACGTCTGATGCTTAAAACAGCCTATGCTTTCACTCCTCTCTGCATTGTCACAGCCCTGTATCACCACTCTTAAAAGGCTATCGCAGCCACTCCTAGCACCAGTTGCTGACCAGCCTGCACACTCACCTCCCTGCCTGCTTCTGGCTGCCTTGAATACTTGGTTCTTTAAGCTCCCTGCAGGTCTGACAAAGCAGGGACCATGTCTACCTTCGGCTACCGGAGAGGACTTAGCAAATATGAATCCATCGATGAGGATGAACTCCTCGCTTCCCTGTCAGCTGAGGAGCTGAAGGAGCTAGAGAGGGAGCTGGAAGACATTGAACCTGATCGCAACCTTCCCGTGGGGCTAAGACAAAAGAGTCTGACCGAGAAAACCCCCACGGGGACATTCAGCAGAGAGGCACTGATGGCCTATTGGGAAAAGGAGTCTCAAAAACTCCTGGAGAAGGAGAGGCTGGGGGAGTGTGGAAAGGTAGGCTCCGGGGACTTTTCTTTGGCTACTTCCGGCCCCTCCCCACCCCACCCCAAACCTAGGAACCTGTGATCACTAACTTTGCAGTCCTCATCACTTTTATTATAACCTGAAACTGAAAATTTTCTCAGGCGGAAATAGTCATGTAACTGCTATGGCTACCCAAAGGATCATAATATGTAAAATTGTTATCTGGGCTTCTATAATTGACTAAAGACAGAATCTTCAAGTGGAAAATAATTCACAAGGAAGGCATTGGTTTAAATATTTTGTTAAATATAAGCCTAACAAGTTCTAAGTAGGGGATGTGGCATAGCATGTTTCTGACGGGTGTGTGTGTGTGTGTGTGTGTGTGTGTGTGTGTGTATGGTAGTTAAGTAAGTTTATAGAGACAAAAGTGGGTACTCTGGTTACTTTGACTGTGATGGCGGCTACGGTAAAAGAATTCTTTTATTCCAACACCAAGAAGTGTGGGGTGGTGGGAAATACATGGGCCTGAGAGTCAGGGGACCTTATTTCTAGTCTCTGCTCTGTCCCTATGTTGTTAGACCTTAACAGATAGTCACTTCTGCAAGGTTCTCTTTCCTATCTGTACATTGAGGGAAAAGGAGCCAGTGTTGTTGTTGTTGGTGTGTGTGTGTGTGTGTGTGTGTGTGTGTGTGTGTGTGTGTGTGTGTGTTTAAAAATTCCCTTTAAGATATTGGTAAGTTATGGACCTTCTTCTTAAGAAAATGTATATGTGCTTGTGCATACATATGCAAACTCTTACATAGAATTTCAAAATGATGATACGCATCCTAAACCCACCTGGGGATCCAGGTTAAGCATACCTGTGTAGACGATCTCTAAGAGTCCTTCCTACTTTACAATGGTGATTCTGGGACCCCGAAATGTACTTAGATGAGAGCTCACATCTATTAAGCTCTTGTTCTCTGCCCAGTAAACAGTCACTTTAAATTTGCCAAATAAATCATCACCAAAAGGAAGTTCAAAAGACTAATCTCTGGGAAAATAGTAATAGCAATAAGAATGTTAATATAACAAATTTCTGAATTTGTTGGAAGAACGTAGGTCAGGAGCAATAGTTTAAGACCTCTGTGCTCTACTGGCATCATCTAAAATCATAATGGCCGGAAGCCAATGGTAAGACTTCCACAGTACTAATCTAGGCACTGTTAGATGATCTTGATGATAGGGTGTGTGGACCACATTTGTAGCAAGATATGTGTGAGCTTTGTTCATGTCAATCATCACAGGAAGGGTCACTGGGATCAGGCCGGGTCTGCCAAGGCCACGGTGGCTGGCTGCATGGAAGGGCTCGAGGGGGAGGGGATGCGGAAGAACATGATGACAGGCTAGGATTTGGGCCAGTCAGTTCCTCCACAACCATGATTTTTAGAGTTTCTTCCTTCTTTCCTTCCTTCCTTCCTTCCTTCCTTCCTTCCTTCCTTCCTTCCTTCCTTCCTTGCTCTCTCTCTCTCTTTCTTTCTTTTTCCTGATGTGAGAATGTGTGTCAAAAACCTGATAAAATATATAAAGTCTGAACTTTTTATTAGTTATTAAGAAATTTGCTCAATAAAAAAATTAAACATTTTTCAGAAGATCCAGAACAGACAGCCATTGTAACAATAACCCAACAAAAGCATTTTAATGTCATAATGTCTAGAGATGGGTGGGAAACAAAGGGCAAAGCCTGTCGTGAGCTGTCGATGAAAACCACCTGACCCTGCCAAAGGTTCTTTTTGATTCCTGCCAACGGCTTATCAGCTCAATCAGAGAGGCTGCCGTGTTGACGGACTTTGATTCCTTTCTCCGCTAGTTTACTTTTATCCCACTACACTTTCCCCGCCACCAGCTGTGTCTGTAGTCACAGGAGTGCTGAGCAGAAGCTTGCTGGTGGAGGCTATAGACCCATTCCCATCACAGGAAAAAGCTCAAAGCAGCTTATGAGTGAGAAGCGGGGGGCGGCAGCATAAGTGAAGACCAGTGCAGTATGGACCATGAGAAGGAGATGGGGGCCTTTGTTATCAGGCTACTGGCTGTATAAAGGCTTTTGAAAATCACGTTCAACTCCTGTTGAATGACAGCCTCTGCCCCCCTGGGCTCACACAAACTTAAGCTACATTAAATGGCTCCAGGGGGATCTAGCGTCCCCTAGCTTCAGTATCTGCTGGGTCTCGGGCATAGGTGTCAATGAGATCACACACTATTTCATTGAATTCTTACCTGTTGCATGTGAGAATCGAGACTAGGAGGGGTTAAAAAATGCATTTGAGGTTAACGGTTTTAAAGTAGAGCTGAAATTCAAACCAAGCTCTGTTGGCACGAAGACCATGATTCTCAAAATGTGGTGCCCAACCACCAGCATCTCCTGGGGACTTCTTAGAACTGCTAATTCCAGGCTCCCCAGACCTGCTGAATGAGGAACTCAGAGTGAGACCCAGCATCCTGTGATCTCACAAGCCCTGCGATTGATTGTGACGCATACCACAGTTTGAGAACCATTCAACTATACTGTAGTTTCTTTGTGACATCCACGCCTCAGGCCCAAACAAGAGGTGACTTGTCTAAAACTAACACGCTCTTTATGAGTAGACCAGCACCAGAAGCTAAAATCAAGCCTCTTGCCTCATTGTTTATGTAATGACGACAGGGAGGTGACCAGGAGACCGTCGGCCACCCTAATTTGTTGCCTTATTTTCTAAGTACACCAATATTCACCTTCTCCTCAGCACCCCACAGCTCACCGCCTTGCCCCCTCCCCACCTTCCCACCCCCATCCTCGTTGGGTGACGGTAACTCCAGAGCAGTGGCGGATAGGAGATCTGGAAGAGGGTAGTGTGTCCTGGTGCCAGAATAATTTAGAAAAAGGCAAAGATTGTTTTTTACGTCCTTCCACCTCCCTTCTCGAGGCACTTTTCTTCCTTCTGGTGTTCCTATTTTAGATGTCCCCCACCTTGGGTGACCAACCATCTCGGATTGTCTGGGACTATCTAGATTTTAGAACTGAAAATCCTGTTTCTTGGGATAGCTTTCAGGCCCAGGCAAACCAGGACAGCTGGTCACTTTACCTCCACCCAACCCTGTCAGGACTTTTATCCTAGACCTAGCCCTTGGCAGTGGTTAGCCCATGTCATTTTACATCCATTCCTTACAAATATTTACTGAGCCCCTGCTACAGGCTGGGCACTGTACTAGGCCCCCTAAACAGACGTGATCTCTGTCCTCAACCTGCTAATAGTCTCTTGGGGGGAAAAATGACAGACAAGTCATTAAAACAGGTACTTTATTGGGAAAAGTAGAAGCTGTGAGAATGCATCAAAAGGATTATTTGAGGGGGTGTCAAAGAAAGCTTTTTGGAAGTGGCATTTAGATATTACATAATAACCCATTTCTGGATAAAAGTTTCACATATTATCTCTTCAGGTCATTGTTGAAGGGAAAACATCCTTGCAGATAAAGCCTAAAGGTCTTTTAAAATCCAAAGGGGGTAAAATTTAATGGTAGTATCAAAGGCAGTATACCTTGGGTTTTGAGACAGGCTTCTTTCCTCCAAATATGGAAATAGCTACACACACACACACACACACACAGACACACACACACACACACACACACACAGTGTCCTCTCCCTCCTGATCCTGAAGGAGTAAATTAAGACTGGACAAGCCATCCCAGGAGTGGCTGACCCCTTCCCCAGGCCATCACTTGGTGCCTGCCACTCCAAACAAGTGGATAACTGGAGCCTATTTTGTGATAGCAACTGGGCAAACAAACCTAGAGACAAGCACAGTGTTTTCCAAAGCTCATTCCACATGCCCCAGGCAGCAGGAGCCCTCAGGGTCAAAAAAAAAAAAAAGTTGCCGAAGTAGGGGGAAGAATCAAGGCTTTGGGGACAGGGAGAGACAGATAAAGAGAAAGGACTAAAAAGATAGCATTAGGGAAAATCAAACTCTGTCAGCAATTTCCATTTTTTTTTTATCAGAAAGAGAAAAAAGAAAAAAAATAGCAAAAAGAAAAGAAAGAAGTAGTCAGTTGGGCTTCTTAGTACAGAGTCCTGTAAACAGGAAAGACAGAGAGAATGAAATTGTGTTTGCCTGAAAGTCTTTCATTATTGATACAAGCTAAATAATTTAAGACTGTCAGGGTGAGGCAATGGCTTGCTTCAAGATTTTCTACTGTTCTAAGCTATTCCGCGTTACAGTTAGAATCTAGTTAGAGCCAGGGGTGATTACCTTTTCCTGCAGTCTAGCTCTCATTTAACCCTGTGCTGGAGTGAGATTTCAAGCCTATTTGCTGAAAAGGGCGACCTGAATGTTTTTCGGCATAGAGCTGGGTTTTGGCCTGCTGCTGGCCTGAAGAGCATCTCTGTCCCCTCAGCTTCCTTCCCCAGAGCAGAGCAAGACAGGCACAGCAGCAGCTCAGCTCGCAGGTGGTGTGGGGTCTCCAAGACCCTGTGCCAAACTCCACCCCAGACGTGGATAAATCTTGGAGGAGCAAAAGACACCCCTGCCTCTATCTGTACTGAGACAGGCTCGGGCAGAGAGCATTTGGCTCCTGCAGCATCTACTATAGGAGACAAATTCGGGGGAGAGTTTTGAACATTAAAAAAGGGAACCTATTAACATATTGTATATTTTTGTTGTCATCTGTTTGTTTGGGATGGAGAAAGAAGCAAGGTCGGAGGGGTGATTCCAGAAGGGAGGGTTGAATTTGCTAAGTCGTAAGTACACTAGGAGTCGAGTAGTTCAGACTAGATAGTTAAGAGAATAAAAATCCATCCAGGGTTTTCCAAAGCTGAGGTTCCAATTTGTTTGTTCAAAGTGGCAAAATGATAGCAAATTTTAATTCAACACATTGAATTCTGGATATTTATTCTGAAGAAAACAAAAGAAATACTTGCAGAAAAAGCCGTTGAAAGTTATGCAATGAAAAGTTAACCTTGGTCACGCGGGAGATTCACTTTTTTCCTTATATATTTTTCTATAATTTGCCATGCGTTACTTTTCTTTTTCAAATCTATTGAGATATAATTGACATGTAACTAACATTGTGTTAGTTTTGAGGTATACGACATAAAACCCTGTTACTTCTGTACAATTAAAAAGTGTGCTTAAGAGCGACAGACTTTAACGATGATACCACACTCTTCAGGTTGCAGAAGAAGACAAAGAGGAGAGTGAAGAAGAGCTTATCTTCACCGAAAGTAACAGTGAGGTTTCCGAGGAGGTGTACACGGAGGAGGAGGAGGAGGAGGAGGAGCAGGAGGCCAGCGAGGAAGAGGCCAGCGAGGACGAGGCCAGCGAGGAAGAGGAAATTGCGACGGACAGCGAGCAAGGTATTAACGGAACTGTCAATTATGATAGTGTCAGTTGTGACAACTCGAGGCCAAAGACGTTTAAGAGTCAAATAGAAAACATAAATTTGACCAATGGCCACAGCGGAAGGAACACAGAGTCGCCGGCTGCCATCCACCCTTGCGGAAACCCCACGGTGATTGAGGACGCTCTAGAAAAGATCAAGAACAACGACCCCGACACCACAGAAGTGAATCTGAACAACATCGAGAACATCACGTCGCCGACCCTCGCCCGCTTCGCGGAGGCCCTCAAAGGCAACACGGCGGTGAAGACCTTCAGCCTGGCCAACACGCGCGCCGACGACAGCGCGGCCCTGGCCATCGCCGACATGCTCAGAGTCAACGAGCACATCACCAGCGTCAACATCGAGTCCAACTTCGTCACGGGCAAGGGCATCCTGGCCATCATGAGGGCGCTGCAGAGCAACACGGCGCTCACCGAGCTGCGCTTCCACAACCAGAGGCACATCATGGGCAGCCAGGTGGAGATGGAGATCGTCAAGCTGCTGAAGGAGAACACCACGCTGCTCAGGCTGGGTTACCATTTCGAGCTCCCAGGACCAAGGATGAGCATGACGAGCCTGTTGACGAGAAATATGGATAAACAGAGGCAGAAGCGGATGCAGGAGCAGAAACAGCAGGAGGGGTACGACGGGGGAGCCAACCTTAGGACCAAAGTCTGGCAAAGAGGAACGCCTGGCTCCTCACCGTACGCATCTCCCAGGCCCTCTC